CCCAGCCCCTGCTGGCTTCGCCTCAGTGTGCGTGATTGCGGTGGCCGTTCCGCCCGGCGCCAGTTGTGCACCGGCCCCCATTGTGCACGACACCAGCGTTGTGTGACTGAGACTCAGGTGGCTACCGTGCGCCGTTCAAAGCAGGCGTGCACGAAGGCCCCCTGTGTGTGCTGATCCGCGCTGCGTGCAAAGGCGCGCATGCGCGCAAGCGCGGGTAGATCTGCAAACAAGGGCGCAAAGCGCGGCTCGGCCCGCAGGCCCGCGTATGCGGGGCAATCAAGCAGACCATGTTCAGCCGTTTCGTCACGGTCCAGGCCGCCGCAGTGGGGGCAGTGGGTGGGGGTGTTGTAATGAAGAGTCGGTGACGCAGCAAAAGCGGGGGAGCAGCAGCGCAGGCGCACTACTAGGAAGCGATGGGTTTGATGTGCACTGCTAGTGCGGCGTTCAAACGGTTCACAGATGGCATTTCGAGTAGAAAATTCACGGATATGATGTATCAAACGTCAAATTTGGCCTTCCAGGGTGCTGTGACGAGTGTGATATGACCTCGCTCGCTCACTCAACCGTTGTCCCAGGTTGAATCACGAGGTGATTCGCCCTGCACGAGAAGAGCCTCACTCTACATGAAACAACTGTGAGCCCCGTGTATGGACACCCCCTACCGTAGTGCCTTGGTGGAATTCGATGCTGCTTGGAGTGCCAGGGCTAGTTACAAGACACCGCCTCGTTGCATCGGTGAATTGGGCAAGCTTTCTGGATCATCACAAGCTTAAGCAATGGGCAGGATCCGTGCTCTTTGGGAGGCAAACACTCGTTTGTCATCCTCGGCGACTGCTATAGTACAATTTCAGTCTTTCACAATCAGCTGGGCCTGGCACCTCCCCTCGCTGAACCGCATCTGCCCACATCCGTCGGCCATCACTCACTCGGCATGAGCACCTCCAGCACGCAGCATCTCAGATGCAATGCCTCAGAAGTGCTGTCCATGTCGCTCGCCGTGCTGTCCCTCCGGGACCTCGGGCCCCGCAGCCTGCAGCAGGCAAACCGCAGAATGCCACCCAGGGGACTGGCCCGCTGTCCCACCAGGACATCTTGCACCATGAGCGCGCAATGCCGGCATATGAGGTGATACGTGGTCTGAAAGCCGCCCTTTTGACCCTGTTCGTCCTCCATGCTTGCCGCACGATGGCATGCCCCATGCAACCTGCGCAGCCCCGCGCCCCGTTGCAAATGCACGGCTGTGGGCTCCCACGTGCACTCTCCTGTTAGCCCCGTTGCTGGTGGCCATCCTGTCGCAGGCAGCGCCAACGTCGCCGACCGCCCCGCACTCACGGCACGAGCTTCAACCGTCGCAGGGAATGTCGTTGGCGTCGCCAGGGATGAAGCTGCCAAAGTAATAAACTGTACTGTATAGCCGGCGTGCGCAAGGCCTGCGGCCAGGAGTTGTGAAAGGCCCCGTGCTTGTGAGTCTGACAGCAGCTGACTGCTGAAACATAAAATCACAAGCGACACATGTTGGGAACCCATCCCAACGTGCAGATGCATACGTACTGCCAAACAGCCACAAGCAAAAACGCGACGATGCAATCTCTACACCCGTCCCAAGGCTCTTATTGTAGCAGGAGCAGGAAGGATATTGAACAACCCAGCGTGAGCCGCGCTGCCGGCCTCTGCTCGGAAGCTGTGCTGCGATGCAGCGCAACACACGAGCACACCCAACACGCAGGAAGTTGCAGGCGCTGCGACGCGCAAAGCAAGCGCAGGCGCACTTGAACACCAACCTGAATGCGCCGCTGCCGCCGTTGCAGATCAGCAGCAGCAACAGGACACGCAGCAAGTAGGCACATGGCACGATGCAGCACTGGCCGCTGGTGACGACGTCTCTCATTGAGTATGCGGCGCGCTGGCATGGCAAGCAGGAGATTATCTGCAAGACTGTGGAGGTGCGCTGCTGCTGCTGCTGCTGCTGTTACTGCTGCTGCTGCTGCTGCTGCTGCTGCTGCTGCTGCTGCTGCTGCTGCTGCTGCTGCTGCTGCTGCTGCTGCTGCTGCTGCTGCTGCTGCTACTGCTAGTGGGGATGAGTTTGGTGTGGGGGGTTGCGTTGTGCTGACGGTGCTCACGCTCTTGTTTATGGCAGGGACAATGCGTGGTTGATTTTGCAGGCCGATGGTTAGGATGGCTGTCTGATCGTCATTGCAGGCTAGCTGCGGGCAAGCGGCTGTGATGGAGGCGCGGCGTGGAGTGCCCCACAGGTCGTGTGGCGGGACCCCCACACTGGTCAAAGCCGTCAGCGGCTGCAATTCACAACAACACGCGTGCCACGCGCACACCGCAACCTTTCTGCTCCACTCCACTCAGCAGCCCCCAAATTACACACCTTTGTCCAGCCAACCCCACCCAATACCCCCAACCTTCTGGGCCAGGGCTCCACTGTGATATTCACCTACCGTGACCTGTGGGACCGCTCCAAGCTGTGCGCTCTGGCGCTGAGGGAGCTCGGGGTCAGGTGAGCAGCCTGGTTTGCAGGAGAGATGCGGTTTCGGTCGACAGAGAGGGCGCTCCTTTGTTGATGGAACAGCTGCAGATCCCCACACTTGCCACACGTAGACAAGAGGAAGCAGCGGCGCTGGCCGGCAGGACTGGCTTTGCGCCTTTGCAGGTGTGAAGCAGCGGGGTTTCCGGTTGATTCCTGCAGGGGTGCCGACCAGGCATTGGCCACCAGCACCCCTGGCATACTGTGACAATCAAAAATCGTAATCCTGACATGACATGAGGGTTCTTGTAAACCTCCTGCTCGTAGGCACGGCGATGTCGTGGCACGCTGGCCTGGTGAAGGCGGGGCGCGCAATCATGAGCAGCACGGCAGGGGACTGATCGTTTCTGTAGCTGCTCATTTTCCGTTGCAGTCGCCGGACGCTTTGCTTCACGTTTCCAGCCTGGCCCCTACCTTTTGCCCTATCCCAATATGCGTTTTAACCGTCTTCCACTCAACAACGGCCACCCAACCGCAGGAACACTACGCGCCACATGGAGGCTTGGTACGGCATCATGGGGCTCAGGGCGGTGTGCCACACCCTCGACCCGCGACTGAGCGCCGAGGACATTGCCTGGATCGCGGACCACGGGCGCGACACCTGGATCATGGCGGTTGCCGCATTCCTGCCGCTGCTGGAGCAGGTTGGGGGGGCCGCGACGGCTGCGTCTTTTGTGACAACATATGAGTGGCGCCACGCAACAAAAGTTTCCATGCAAACTTTAAGCCCAGCGCGGGCCGGAGGGCTGTGGCGACACTCCAGTCATGTGGGGGGTCAGCTGTTCGCAATTCAGAAATGCATAGCGGTCTATTCAGCCACAGCTCAGCTGACAGCCGCATGCTCCTTGAGCTGTGATGCACAGCACAATTGAACCGCCTGCCGGCTGACCTGTCCCCAGCAACGCCCCACGCACCTGGCGCGTCCGCGTCACCGATGCTTCAGATCCTGCCGCTGTGCCCCAAAGTGAGGGGCGCCATCCTGCTCACAGACAGGTGGGCCGCGTTTGCATCCTTTGTATTCAATCAGACTGCAGGGCGGTCAGGCAGCAAACCTGCAGCCTTTGACGCTGTTGACCCTCAGAAGCACGAGGAGCCGGCTGCGTTGTCAAGACAGCCCCACCCCCAAAAGCTGGGAAAGAGCATGCGCCCCCGCCAATCTCCTCACCACGCCTGCACGCCCTTCCAACCGCTCCCTCAGGCAGCGCATGCCGCGGTCCCCGCCCCTGGATAGACCCTGCCTCTGCTATGAGGCGCTGCTCGATGCGCAGGTGGAGCGCCTGGCCGCCTTCCAGTGGCCAGAGCTGGACGAGAACACCCCCTGCGGCCTGTGCTACACCTCCGGTGTGCGCCTGGGCGCGCATGTCCCGCCTGTCGCTGGCGGGCCTCAAAATTGCCCTGCCTGTCTTTTTGTTTCTCGTTTCCCGCTGGGGAGACCAGGGTGAATTGTGGCGGCCGTTCGTTAACCCCATGCGACAGCGGCATGTCCATTAGGCTGGGAACCCCTGCCGGCCAGCCTGCTGACGTGGTGGTGACATCGCGCTGACGACGCTGGGCCCGCAGGCACCACCGGCAACCCCAAGGGCGTCATGTACACCCACCGAGGTGACAGCCGGCCCCGGCCCCCGCTTGTCCCTCTGCTCTGCTCTGCTCGCCGCAGCAGCGCTAAAAGGGCGTCGGATTTCGGGGTGATCGGCGCCAATCCTGGAAACGTCCACCGTCTCCTTGCTCCATTGAAAACTCACACATTTTTGGCACCCTGCTCACTCCCCCCCCTCCAGCAACCTGCTGCATGTGATGATCACCATCATGCCCGACGCCCTGGCCATGGGCAGCACCACCACCATGCTCATGGTGGTGCCCCAGTTCCACGCAAAATCCTGGGGCATCGCCTTTGCTGGTGTGCTGCGAAGCATCTTTTCATAATACAGCAAGTGTGGGTGCTTACGTGTATTATACAGTGCACCTCTGGTCCTGTGGGCACTTGAATCCGACCTGCTCGATATCCTCGTCATATCCTCGCTCGGGCCGACACAGCCACCCACCCCAGCCAGGCAGCTCCTCCAGGGGCCGCTGTATCACGCCGTCGCCCCATCACGCCAGCGCCAACGCTCGGCACCCCACCACCATGCAGCGAGCGTTCGCGCTGACGCGCCACGCCCGGGTCCGTCCCACCTTCCCGGCGACAACCCTTTAGGGCCCCAGCTAAAGCCCCCCGCCCTTCGCTGACCCCCCGCCTTCCAACGGACCCAGCCCCCATGGTGGGCTGTCGCCTGGTCCTGCCCGGCCCCCACCTTGACAGCGAGAACGTCTACCACATGATCGAGGCTCACGGGGTCATCATGTCAGCGGGCGTGCCCACGGTCTGGGCCAACCTGCTGGCCCACGTGGAGCGCCACGGCCTGCGCTTCAGCCGGCTACAGGCCATCGTCATCGGCGGCGCCGCCGCCCCGCGCTCGCACATTGCGGCGTTCGAGGAGTGAGCGGCGCTTGGCTCTTGACGTTGCCCGCGTGTCGCGCTCGCATGCAGGCGCTGCGGGGCGCTGCCTTTCTCGAGGGAAACAGCCGAAAATGCTCAGTGTAAGATTTCAAGACAACAGCAGAAGCTATCTCACAGTGCAAACAATTATCGTCAAGATCAAGCGCTCCTGGCACGGTAATGCACACACACGTCTACGCCACCTGCTCTGCACCCAACCGCAATCACCCCCCTGCTCTGGATCCCCAGCCCCACAAACAACCCTCCAGCCGCGGCGCCGAGGTGCGGCACATGTGGGGCATGACCGAGCTGTCGCCTCTGGGCAGCCTGGGCCTCCCAAAGTACAGCCAGGTGGAGGGCGGCCTGAGCCAGGCCGCGCTGCGGGACCTGAAGTTGGCGCAGGTGGACGGCACCAGGCTGGTTTGCAGGTGACAGGATGCACGCTGAGCTGCGTTTCCTTGGTTCCACGGGTCTTTGAGGGGGCGGGGGCCTGCGGGAGGGGGGCCGGGCCCCAATCAAAGCAGGGGGATGTCGCAGTGCCGCCTGCCTCAACCCCCCCTCCATGCAGCTTGTCCCTCTGCTGCAGCGGGTGCTTGTAGCACATCTTCTGCCACAACCCCGAGGTTCAGAACGGCCCGCTTTCAACCAACCCCTGTCAAACCCTCGCACCTGCAGGGCCGCCCCCACGTATTCTGCAACATGCGTATCGTGCACGACTCACGGCGCGAGCTGGCGCATGACGGCACCTCGGTCGGCCACCTGCAGGTGCGACAGTGAGGGGCACACCCCCTGAGCGCTGCTCGTCTCCTGTTGCCTCGCAGCAGAGACTCTCTTTGGAAGCGCCGGCCAGCTGGCCTCCTTGCCATCATCCCTGCAAGCCCACGCCACGATCAGCCAGCACATGTCAAGAGTAGTGTAGCAAGTGTGTGTTTGGCGGCCCCAAACAACGCCTATAACGCTTGCAATGATGCCAACACCGTGCCAGGTGCGGGGCCCCATCGTCGTGGAGCGCTACCACCGCCAGGACCGCCCTGCCACCACCGGCGGCCGCTGGTTCGACACCGGGGACGTCGCCTCATCGACACCCTGGGCTTCATGCGCATCACAGACCGCAGGCCGATGCTTGGGGCAGGGGCCCTTTCTGTCGCCAAAAGAACCTTCTGAACAACGACGTCGCGCCTCTGGGCCCGTGTGGAAACAACCAGCTGTGCTTCACCTCAACTTCTAATGGATGCTTTGCTGCCTTTTCTTCGACCGCTTTACCGCTATTGGTTCTTGGAGAGGACTGCGCTTGCCACCACCTGTTAGCCCCGTGCAGCAAGGACGTGATCAAGTCAGGGGGCGAGTGGAGCAGCCGCATCGTGCTGGAGAACGCCGCGCTGGGGCACCCCAAGGTGTGGGGGCCACTGGGGCCCTGGCGCTGAGCATCGCACCACAAAGCAGGAATGGTCAGGCTGCAGTTGACCAAGTTGCTCCCAGGTATTGCGTGCTTTGCAGACAAACACTGCCATCAAAGTAAATCCCAACTGCTGCACCCCGACATAAGCTCTGTCCACAACCCCAACCTCTCAACACTCAATCCGCTAGGTCCAAGAGGCGGCCATCATCGGCGCCCTACCCAAAGTGGAACGAGCACCTGCTGCTCGTCGCCGTGCCCAAGCCCGGCGCCACCCCCGACGACGCTCTGCGGCGGGACGTCCTGGCTTTCATGGCGTCGCACCCCGACGTGGCCAAATTTGCTGTACCCGATGACGTGCTGTTCGTGGAGGCCATCCCTTACGGCGCCACCGGCAAGGCGAGCTTGGGGCCTGCGTGGACTGATTGTTTGTTGGGTGCTGCCGTGGTTTGACCACGGCTTGTTGGGTGGGCGGCAGCAGTCCTGGATCTGTCACGCGCTGCTCTGTGAAAGTTCATCTGTGATGGGGGCGAGCCGCGCAGCTGGCTGAGGGCGTCGGCGGTGATGCTGAGGGGGAAACTTTGAAGCGCACACAAGGCCTGGCAATCTAGAAAAGGGGTGTTGTTCCAGGTCAGCCGTTTGATGCGAGATCCGTTTATCTTTGACATCACGCCTGCCTGCACTCCTCCCCCCGCCAACAGATATCCAAGGTGGCGCTTTGTGCGATGGTGGCGCAGTAGTCGCACCAGCAGCCGCAGCAGCAGCTCAGCAAGCTGTGAGTTCACAAATGCAGGTTGTGGCTGTGTGTGCACGTGTGCGTGTGTGTGACAACGTGTCGCAGAAACCATTTTATCTGAGAGCTGCCCTCAAGCGAGCTCAAAACCTCTGGGGTGCCTCACTTGGGGTGTTGAAGGTTTGGTTGCTTGCACTACACTTGAAAATGGCCTGTAAGGGCCTTGCACGATCCTCTTCCTTGCAGTGGCTGCTTGCACGAGTATCGATCAGTGGCTAGCTATTGGCTGGACTACTTGTCATACAAAGGGCCTTTGATAGCTCGTCCTTGTTTGTTAAATATGTAATCTGGTGCCAACACTGGCAGTGTCCCTGTGCAGCAGCCGTGCCATCGGTGCCTGTGGCTGCTGCCACCCTGGCCTTGCGTGCTGGTCGACAAGAAAACGCTGTACTGTACTGCACTGCACTGCACTGTACTGTACTGTACTGTACTGTACTGTACTGTACTGTACTGTACTGTACTGTACTGTACTGTACTGTACTGTACTAGACTCATGGTCGTGGCATATGGCCGGATCCAAACACGTCAAGGCCCTCCTGTCAGCCAGGTGGCCTGGAAAGATCTTCATCAATAACCCCTGCTCTACCCAGCAGAAATGAGCATTGGAATTCCTGGATTTGCACATGAAAAAAGCACCGCAAGTAATGCATTAACAATTTTGTTACGACGCACAGAAAGCTGTAAAGTTGATGGCCCACAACATGCTGGTTGGGCGGGCGGGATCACAATGTATTGGCGCCAACACGACCCTTAACCCTCAGTGCTCTGTAAATGTTGTATGAGTTACATGTGTTTTGGGTGCGTGGTAGGACCCCCTCCAAAGTGGGATACCTCCGCTACCCGAAACAGGCGTCCAGGTGAGTTGTGGAGCAGCGATGATGAACAACGAGACTGCACGCTGGGTACTTGAGCAGCCGGGCAGCCTGAAGGGCTGCGCGTCCGACGCATGTACAGTGTGATTTGGCTCTGGGCAGATGCCCTGCAGTATTTCAATCCAGCCCAGTAGAGCTACATGGCAATACGGCTTGAAACAATCGGCACCACAGTACTGGTCTGCTCAGGAAGGGCCACGTGGCATGGGCAAGCACTGCCTCTGGATGTGTGTGTGTCGGAAGCAGTTGTTTTGCGATGGCCAGTCGGGCGGAACAAAGGGTGATTTTCAGGGTTGCGCAACCCTGAAAAACACTATTGTTGACGCAAGCAGATGACCACGACATGAATCTTAGTTGGACGGATACATGAACTTGTGGTTGGGGGTTCAATGGCGCAGCTTGCTGAGCTGCTGGTGAGGCACCGAGAGCGCCAGCAGGTTGCCCGTGCGGCCAAGCAAGAGCAAGTGTGCGTGTGCCCAGCTCAAGCTGCTTCAGCAGTAATGCTCGTAAAGCCTGAAGACGTGTGTACGCTGGTGCAATGCATGCCGCAGCACCACACAACCCCACGTTTTTTTCTTGTGCTTCCACGGCGGTGTGCATACACCCAGCCCAGTCCAGCGTGGGGTGGCGTTTTTGGCACAAGCAGTAGGCGTCAGTCAACAGAGGAGAACAATCATGTGGGGTACAGACAACATGGCACAGCGGATCATGCGTGTATGGCAATGTCGACCGGCACTTTGATGGCCCCCCGGGCCGGTGAGATGCACGAATGATTCATAAGGAGCAAAAGCCAACAACAACTGCAGCCGTCAAGTGACACTCTGTCGCGTAGTTGAGATACATTTTGAGGCATGAACAAAATCCTGATGTTATGCCTTGGAGGCACAGCACCAGGTTCCTTTGATGCTGCCAGGTCTTACTGGCGCCCGGTCTGGCGCCCGGTCTTACTGGCTACCACAGCCCTGTCCATCGCTACGTGACAGCTCCTTCCCCGGCAAACATATTAGTAGTCTTGGCTGGCGCGCACATGGACTGCCGCCGTCAGAGCCCAGGCTGCTGCAAGAAAGCATCCAGACCGTCATCCGCAGACCAGTCCAGGAATGGGGCTCCGACGCCCTGTCTGTGGAACATACCCATCTGTGCTTGTGGGGCCAGGGAGACAGACAACTTCGACGGCATGGGCGCAGTCGGCGCCGGCACAAACGGTGCTGCGCCAGTTGGCGAGATGTCCAAGCTCGAAAATGACCGCTGGGAGCTGCGTATGGAGCTGGCCATCCCTGCTGTGAGCGCCGAGAAGTGGGGCTGGGGAGGCGCCAGGGACCACGCTTGCATGGGGAACGCAGCAAGAGAAAGCTGCTCCTGCTGCTGCTGCTGCTGCTGCTGCTGCTGCTGCTGCTGCTGCTGCTGCTGCTGCTGCTGCTGATGATGATGATGATGATGGTGGTGGTGATGATGCTGCTGCTGCGGCTGCTGCTCCTGCACTTCTGGGGAGTAAGACGCTGGCAAGCACGACGACAGCATCTGTGGTGCTGCCACTCCGTCCCAAGGCGACAGCTGCGCAATCGCTGACGACTCCGGCACGTGCTGCTGTGCGTGCTGCAGAGCCTGCACTGGCTGACGCCAGTGCTGCGATACGTTGACTGGCGGCTGCATGCCCAGCTCCCAGATCAGATTGTCAAGCATCAAGGTGTCGGCTTCTTCACATGATAGCTGTTCCTGCGGCTGTTGCGACTGCAGCCGCATTTGCTGCTCCTGCTCCTGCTGCTCCCATATCAAATGCTGCTGCCGCTCCAGGGGCGAAGGCAGCAGTGGCAGGCACTGCTGCTGCTGGTGGGGGTGGTGATGCTGCTGCTGCTGCCGGTGGTGGTTGTGCTCTTGCTGCTCTTGCTGCTCTTGCTGCTGCTGCTGCTGCTGCTGCTGCTGCTGCTGCTGCTGCTGCTGCTGCTGCTGCTGCAGCGACAGCGTCTGCGACCTCGGGAGGAGCAGCAGCGGCGGTTGGTGGCCGAGGTAGTGCCGGGGCGACTGTGACTCAGAGTGCGGCGGCGGCGAAGAGGAGGAAGGGAGCCGTACCAACTGCGGCTGTGTCAGGGCCTGCGCTGAGTGCTTTTGAGGCTGCTGTTCCCTTGATTGCGCAATCTGCAGCAACGCCTGCTTGACGTCTGGTGGGCAGGTGTTGGTCTGCAAAGCTGCATCCAGGCGGTGGAGTAGCCCGGGCGACATGGCGCCGGCTTTGGAGGCAAATAAAGGAGGCGGCGATTGCGAAAGGGCTTGTGAGACTTTGGAGTTCGTGATTGTGAAGCAATGGCTGTGTGTTGCTGATTATCAAATAACCTCCTTTTGAAGGCGGGCATGCCCTGAACATCTTTATGCTGAATGAGTCAAGCCCGATACCTCCTGTATCTCTGCTCCAATCGTGATGGGAGGCATGTGGGCTATGACTTGGTATGCACCGAGTCCACGTTAACTAAAAAGTAACACTAGCACACTCACCCCTCACAATCTCCAGCAATTGTGGCGCGTTGGGCAGGGTCCCACCAAGTTCTGCCAATGGTATGGCGCGTGACAGCCCCCCCTCCTGCACAGATGCGAGTGTACCGGGTGCAGCTGTTTGGACCAAAAGCGGGTGCAGGTTCCGCGAACTATTTCAAGTGGGAGCCGGAAAGGCAAGTCGTTTGTGGCAGCCTTGAAACAAGTGCGGCCTGTGAAGCCCTCCACGCACCTTGCAGAAGTCCTCCGAGTCGACATGCGACAAAAACCACCCGGGGTGCGCCGCCGCCCGCCAGCCCTCGCGCGCGGCCGCGCGCAGGCGCTGTTCCTCCTGGCGCTGGTCTGGTGTCTGCTGCTGCGCCGGGATTACGTCCACCAGCGCGCCGCGGCGCAGAAGGAGGCCTGGGTAAAGCACGCCGCAGGCGGGCGCGGGATGAGCAGAGGTGCATGCAAGCTTGCGCTCAACTCCTTGCCAAACCTTTGCAGCCAGCAAGAGGGCGACCCATGAAGGGTGGGGACCACCACACAGAGTGCCTAATCTGTATAACGCATTAGACGAACAGGCATTCAAGGGGCCGGATGTCATGGGGGTTGAGCCACCCCGATTTAGATCTTTCAAGCTGTGCAAGTCACCCCGCTCGCCTGCCGGGCGGTCCAGGTTGACCTTGGCCTGGGCGCACAAGAACAGCAGCCCACGCTCCATCGACCTGAGAGCAGCAAGCGCCGGCGAAAGGTCGCAGGGAGTACTTCAAACTTGCAATGGTGGATGCGGGCCCTGTTAAGAATTTCCAGCATCTGGCGGTACGTACAGCGACAGGCCAACGCACGCGTCTGTGTGCTAGAGTGGGCGATGTCGTCCTCACCCTGTGCCCTCAAACCACGCCCTCATGCGGGTGTCTGGCTCGACGGCTTGGCCCACGTGCTCCACCACCTCCTCCCATGCGTCCTCGCCCAGGGCCAGCAACTTCTGGAGCTGCGGTTTTGTGGGGAACAGAGGGAGCGGGGGTGGTGGCACGCAGTGTTACTTGCGTTAGTTGGGTGGACATGGTGGTGACGTGCTGTTGACCGGATGCAGGAATCCTTGCGCGCTGTTGCTGGCATGGTGACCAGCAGGCCCGTGGTTTTGTGTGTGGGGGGGGGAGGGCAGACCCTGGATCGGGGGTGGTGAACGGGAAGCGCTCGAGACACATGCCTCCCCCATGCGCTGGGCGCTGTCACCTGGCCTCGCAGGACGCTGTTCGCAGGCGCAAGCGCAAGCAAGCTCTTCAGCTGCCCGACGTGCGTGATCGCAGTCGTGCAGCCGGCAGGAAGTTGCAGCTCCATGTTTTTCTGTCAAAAGGTGGTCAGGTAGGGCAGGGCGAACGCCAGGGCGCTCAATCATTTAAGTATTGCATTAAGGCAGATACGATTGAATCACCACCTCTCGTAGCTGAACAGTGTGGTGTGATGAGCGGTGTCCTGCGCAGCTCAAACACGCAATGCAATGTGATCCTCTGCCACAAATAACTTAGGGTTGCTACAAGACTTTCTTTTAGTGAATATGAGAGGTGCGAGCAAAGCAGGGAGGGAAGAGTATGATGAGGGAGGCAGGGGGCCGGGAGGCAGGGGGCCGGGGGGCAGAAGGCACGGCAAGGGGCCAGGCAAAGCATAACAAGCGCAAGGAATTATCCAGGCTCAGCCCAAGTCCCTGTCCCTCGGTCCCGTACCTCTGCTGCCGCTGCCCGCAGGTCCTTGAGCTTGGCGCAAGCCGCCTTGCCGAGGTTGACGATCCCCTTGACCTTGCCGGTCGTCAGCGGAAGCTCCACCTTCACATCGCCCTTCATGCGCGCCGAGGCCACGGCAAAGCCCATGCTGATCGCCGGTCGCACGTTGGTCAGCGGCGCAATGGCGGCAGCAGTCACTTCAGTTGCTTTGCCCAAGGCCTCGACGGACCCGCGGAGGCGGGCACGGACGAGGATCCTGAACTGAGGCTTCTTGCCCTTTCCCTTCAGAAGCTGTTCGCCGCTGGCATTAATCTTGAAGGCGGAGGGGCGGCAGTTGCGGTAGGTTGCGGGAGGGAGGGAAAAAATCTTGAACGCGCAGGGGCAGGTGGATGGCTACGAGCCTCGCTCTGTCGTAATAGGGCATGGCTGTGCCGCTGTTGCCGTGTGTGTCGCGCCGATGCACAGGTGCCATGCTGCTGCAGAGCGCGGTGTGGCCGGCGACAAAGCTGCGAGCGAGCGAGCATGCAGGCGATCGGCACCGAACGTGCGCAGGCAGACCAACGCGCACCCGAAGCTCTGGCAGCATGGCGAAGCCGTGCAGGATCTGCATGTCCAGGGTTGTCACGCCGCCCCGGCCGCTGCGACCACCGCAGCTCAAGTCGGACGACGGCCGGCTATCCATGAGGCCTAGGGCAAGCAGGGCGCCTCCGTTGGCTGCTGCGGGGGGGAGGCTGATGGCCTCTATGTCTGCCTCGCTGGCATGCGCCAGCCTGAGCGTGCGTGCGGTCAGGGGCACAGTGAAGAGAGTGGATGGCTGGTCATCGTCAGCGGGGCATCTCCAATGGCTTGGAGGGGGGGAAGGGATTATTGAGGGGCCTGGAAGACAACGGGCGGGACACCTGAGAGCTCACACCATGTCGCACACTCACACGATCATGCCTCACACACAGCACGACTTTGACGACGGACGCTCCGGCTGATGCCGCAAAAGGACTACTCCTAGTCCGGGAATTACGCAGACCCAATCAAGGCAGGTGTGTACGGCCGGAGCGGCTCCCCAATTCCGCGGTAAACAAGACACGTGAGAATACGTCGGGCGCTTGGGCAGCACAGCCGTGTTGGATCGTGGGAGGCCTGCTGACTCTCACCCGTAGGCCTGATCAGCGAAGCGCTTCTCGTAGAGCGCCCCCTCCACCACTCGGAGCTCGAGGTACAGGCCATCGGGCAGCGCCCCGGTGTACAGCTCCCCCGAGCAGCGGCGCACCAGCTCCAACCGCAGCGAGCCGCCGCAGCGAGCAGCCAGGCGGTCGCCGACCACAAAGCTGCGGTCCAACTGCCGGCTACACGGGCGGTCGGGGCTGCGCTCACAGAGCGGGCAGGCGGCGTCAGCACAGCCCTTGGCCCTGCGCGAGTGCGGTTGGCAGGGGACAGAGGCGGAGCAGCGCTGTTGAGGCAGCCAGCGGGGTTGGCAGGGCTCACGGCCCAGCAGACTGGCGGGGCGCAGGCGGCTGCACCTTGGTAATGCACCAGCCCTAGGGCGGGGCGGCGGTGCTGTGTGCAGCCAAATCACGCTCCCTCCTGATGGCGCCTCACTGCCTGCGGGCCCCAGCTCACTGGCAGTCATGCGCAAAGCGCAGCTGCAGGTCCAGTGCCTCAAAGCCCTGCGCGTCCGCTCCTGCCGCGGCCGCCGACTGCGACCCGCCGGTGGCACCGCTGTTCATGACGCTGTTGCTGGTCGCGTCGTCGGGAAGGGAAAGGTCCTGCAGGGCTGAGCCCGCGGCGTGCTTTATGAAGTTGATGAGCCCGGGCGACAGCTCCTCAGACTCCAGAACAGCCTCGAGCTTCGCCAGAAAACGCTGCATGTGCCCCTCGTCGCAGCTCTGATGCTGCAATTATCGGGGTGGGGGGGGGGAAGGGGCGGGGGCGCGGGGCGGAGGCCAGGCGGCGTGTTGGGTGGTACGCGGGACGGCGGCGGCGGGCATCGGGCGCGAAAGGTGACACCCTCCAACCATTACGATTGGCGTAACGGCAGCAGCCGCAGCTGTGGGCAGTGAGGGCGTGCTAAGGTGTACGTATTTCGTCGAATAAATCGAGCACATTGCTGCTTGGCTGGGGTGCGTGGGCTCCTGTGTCAACCGGATTTTTTCCCACAGATTGTGTGGACGCAAACCTTGGTGACTGCGGGTTGCAATTTTAGAGCATCAACGCATCTCTTGTTCCCTGTCACGACACGCCGTGACGGCTGGCTGCTCGACGGGTCGGTCGAGGGCCCCGGGGACGCCATGCCCACCGCGTCCAAGGCGATGCAGCCTGCAAATACGACTAGTATGATGTATTTTTTGCAACAATAGTTTGAATCGCTGCTCGTGGCAGGGGAATGCGTTTTTGCATTGGGCTTCACGCCCCTTACGCCCCTTCAGTCTCTGATCAGGCCCCTTATATAGTACAGCCTCCCCCCCTCTCACAGGCCCAGCGCCTCCGAGAGGCATGACGTTGATTGTTGTTACGCGATAGTGGCCCTGATTCCACCGGGCTTCTTATCGCGGGCAAATCTCGAAGAAAGATTTTGCCACATCGATAAGGCCGGAATCCACGAGTGTGACATCGATCAAAACTTCGATAACCTTCAACATCAAAATTACCCCGATACCTTCAGTGCATCGTGCAAGCCTCTTCAGTTACCATCCAATCAACTTGAGTTACCATCCAGAGCCAATCGCCAAACCTAGCCCGCCTGTGCAAAAAAGACAGCAAGCTTTGCACCTGTGCCAAACAGACAGAAAGCTTCGCACGTTGCATTCAGCTGCAGACAATGGATTGATGCACCACTCCTCCAACGCTTCAAAGACAATGGTATACTGCCGGACAAGGTCATGGTTATCAACACATCATGGTCCTCCGCCTGGTATTGAGCGCCAACCTGCAGGCCCTGCAGCTCCGCCATCATGATGTCCATGGCCTGCTCGGGTGTCAGGTGCTGCTGGGACGCCTGTGGAGGGGGCCGGGTGATCGTGTTACTGTTTGCTGCAGACTAACTATCAGCTGCCACGAGTCGTGTGCGTCGTCGAATTGTTGATAGTTATAACGGCAAAGCTCATCAGGTATGCGGCGTGTCTCAAGCAAGGCAGGGGTGGGTTGACTGATGGTACAGCGGTCAAAGCCGGCGCCCGCACGGCTTCCACCAAGCGGGCGGCGCGAGCACCAGGGCACCAGGGCCGCACAGCCCAGGGCGCCGGGCTTCAAGGGGACCGGCGCGGACGGGGCACCTCAGCGGACAGCCAGGGCGGCCCGCAGATGATTTGAAGGGGCGGGTCGTAGCGTGTCTTGATGAGACGGGTGTGGGATGTGGCGAGTATACAGCCGTGCAAACGAGCGTCGCCCTGACCGCAGCGGCGGGCCACCGCGGCTTGCGGCGGGCCGGCCCGCCGTGCAAGGCGGAGCCTCGCGCGGCGCCGAGCCAGGCAGGCGCAACTAGCGCACAGCCGGCTTGGGAGAGCGGGCGCGCCGCTTGCGCAGCGGCGCGAGCTCCGGTGATGGCCAGATGCGGGGGGAGCACGTGTGGTTGGGGCCCGGTACATGGGGTTGAGGGGCAGCGGCGGCAGCAACAGCAGCAGCCTGCAACCTCTTTGCTTTTGAATGCAGGCGAGACACCTCTAACACACTTGCACCTAGCAGGAAGTGAAAAAACACGAACAAGGACTCCAACGCATGCTTTGCTGGCGCCGTCTCGGGGTGCTGCTGCCGGCCGGGGACGCCTTGCAGCCCTCGACCTACCCCACTGCACGCGCTCTAGGCAACTCCCCGTGCCAAACCCAACTCAGGCAACGAGAGAAAAGGCAAGCTTTGCGCCGCAAGCTATCACGCGCACTGGACGAGGCCCTCACATCAGATTAGATCAGATCAGATCTGGCGTCAGATCTGATCACGCCACCTTGGCCCTCAGGTGATGGATCAGGTCGATGTTCGTGATCAGCCCGTAGAAGGGCGTCCCCCCATCCCCGGCGACGACGGCAACGCGCCCCGCGCGCAGCAGCGGCAGCAGCTCCGCGGGCGCCGCAGTAGGAGGGACCGTCTCCACGCGCCCCTCCATATAATCCGACACCGGCGCTGACGTGGCGGCCTGGCCGTCGCGGACCAGGGCGAGCAGCAGGTCGCTCTCGTCTATGATCCCGACCACGCGGCTGCCGGCGAACTTGCCGGCGGCCGGGGTTGAGGCGGGGGCGGAGGCGGCGTCGGGGGCGGGGG